TTTCATTTTTCCTGTAATATAGATGACCATTCTTTCACCATGAGTCTATATTTATCTTTTAAGGTAAGGCAAGATTCTTGTATGCAGCACATATCTGGCCTTAGTTTTTGTATCCAATCGGTACCTCTTTAGAGGGCAATTTAAGCCATTCGCATTAATTGAGAATATTGTTAAGCCTGGTAGTATTTGGCATATTGAGTTTTTCGAAAGTGCAACGGACATTTTAAATCCTTTTTTCTCTGGAAATTGGAATTTGACCAAAAGTTCCTGAGTGAGTTTACTTTGGTAGTAGAGAATTGCACTGTTCATTATGGAGGATAGGTCTGAGAAGAGAGCTAGTTTAGTTATGGCAAATTTCTTCTACATGTGAATGTCATTGAAGTTTTTACTTTTTCCATCATAAATGAAATTCAGTTTAGCTGGATAGAGGATCCTGGGTTGAAAATTATTTTGTTTTAGGAGGTTAAAGTTTGATGACCACCCTCTTCTAGCTTGCAAGTTTTGAGCAGAGAGATCTGCAGTCATTCTAATATTCTTCCTTTTGTAGGTTATGGTTTTCTTACATCTGGTTGCTTGCAGAATTTTCTCCTTCATATTAGCTTTGATGAAGTTAATTATAATGTTTCTGGGAGATGTTTTATTTGGGTTGAGTTGTGCTGTGGTTCTGAAAGTTTCTGCTATCTGAATTTCAGAATTTCTTGCCATGTTTTGGAAGTTCTCCTCCATTATCTCTTGTAGTAGAGCCATTGGGCCTTTTGAAACAAGCAATGTCACCACTTTCAGGAATTCCTGTAAGGGGAATATTAGTTTTCTTCAAATTATCCCAGAGCTCTCTGAGAGAATGATCTGTTTTTGCTCTTCACTTCTCTTCCTCTTTGAGCTTTTGGGAGCATTCAAAAACTTTATCTTCAGTGTTGGAAATTCTTTCTTCTGCCTGCTCCATTCTGTTACTGAGGGGTTCTACTGTATTTCTCAGATCTTTGAGGGCTGCAAATTCTTGTCTCAACACGTCAAAATCATTGGTGATTTTGTCTTTGAATTCATTGAATTATTGACACAACTTTTGAAATGCTCCTTGAATTTCTATTTGCAACTTTACCTCCATTCTGTTAATCTTACTTGCAATGCAAATTCTGAATTCTATTTCTGACATCTCACCCATTTGTTTATGAATTGGATGAATGTGTTCTTCTGGTGTGTTCACCTTATTGTTCCTTGGGGGAGTTGATCTACTCTGATTATTCATGTTGCTGTAGTTTTTCTGCTGATTCCATCCCATGATTATTTTTCACTCTTTGGCTAGATGAACAGATAAGGTGAAATTGGGTTGGGGACTCCTGGAGCAGGGATTAACCAGTCCTTTGCCCAAGAACTGGGACTGGTGACTATAGCTTTTCCCCTACAGCTTTGCAAAGGACCCATGTAGTACTATACCCTGAGACACTGGGAACATGCTTTGTGTGGTGGGGCTACATGGCTCTGTCTTGTTTTCAGCTGGTCTCTGTCCAATCCTAGTGAATCAGTAACTCTGGGATGAAGTCTCAGCTGTAGAGAAATACCAGCACCTAAGACACCCTGGCCCCCATGGGCAACAACTGGAAAAGGACAATCAAACCTTCCCACAATGATATAACCAGGGTACCACCTTGGATGGTCCTCAGGTGATTGGCCCAGGTCAAGAGTTTCAAATCAATTGTCCCAGTGAGCACCCAGTCTCAAGTTGGAGAGTTCAAAAGGTCTCCAGCAACTGGCAACCCCATAGGGCTGTGGTTCAGTTCTCTCCAATGAGCAGATGCTCTAAGGGTTTATGCCTGCCTGAGTCATAGGGAGATCTATGTCTCCTCAGCCAGGCCACCACTCTCACCACCAGCCAGCAAGGGGAGCTGAAGCCTGACAACCTCGGGTGCTTAATGAAAGCTGGGGAGTTTCATTCAGTTCCAGCCCCTCCCCAGATTGTTGTTGTTGCTGCTTATATTCTTGCAGAATTAGCATTTCTATCCTGGCTACATTCCCCTATGGGCCAGGTGCTGTTTGGGTTCACAGAAACTGTGACTCAGTCCCGCCATGTGTCAGTGCTGCTGCTCCATTTCTCATGGAGCTGGTGTCTCTGTCTTTGCTTTACTCTGTGTTGGGGCAGGCTTGGTTAGAGCTCACAAATGGCTCTCAGTTCCTGCCCTTCCCTGGGCTGATGCTGTGCAACACTGGCTTTTGTCCCAGCTATGCTCCCCTGGGGGCTGGTTACATCTTGGGCTCAGAAAAGTAGCAATTCTGACCCATCCCTGCCCTGGGAATATGCTGCCTGTGTGCACACAGATTCTATTCTCTGACCGGCCAAACCCTGCCCAGGCAGGTACTGCCTCAGGCATACCCTTTGCTCATGGGGCCTGCATTTCTATCCCAGATCTGTTCTGTCAGTGGCTGCCACTGCAGTAGAAGCCTGACTCCCTCTGGTTGCTAAGAATGGTGGGAAGAGTCTCTCCAAAATATCCCCAGGGATGTGAGCCCTATTATTCCCACTGCTGCCCCTGCCACACTGGGCTGCAGGGCACAGCTTCTCCTCCCATATGGCTTCCTTCCCCACTCCACACCCATGCCACAGAATCAGCACAGACTTGCAACAGCCCAAGCTCCATCCACACCTCTTGAGAAAATGTCCAAGAGCCTGGACTTCATGGGAAGCAGGCTTCCAGACATCATAGTAAGAGTGGAGGGGAGTGCTGGGAGTTCAAAATTGCAGGTAGAGTTTATGTTCAGTTTTATGCCTGGCAGGAGAGTGCCATGGCACACTAGTGGGTCCTCTCTGGGGAAGGAGTTCTGGTTTTTAGAGAGTCTCTCCTATGGGATAATATAGAAGGAGATCTGAACTCTGCTTGCTTATTTGTAGAAAGTATACTGCAAGCCATTCTCATGGGGGAGAGGACACCTGTCCACTTGGCGATAGATTTTGTGCCTATTCTTTGTTTCCTTGGGGTCACAGCTTGCCTCAGCAGGGGTAATGTTTGCTCTTCGACCTTCTCTTTTGGCTCAGCTCCAAGCAATCAGCTTACTTGCTAAAATTCTGACCTTTAACTCACCTTCTGGATAGAAGCCTCTGTTGAAAGCTGGCTCCAGTTGGCCATCTTGCCTTCTCCTTTTATTTTTTCTTTTTTGATGTAGGCATTGCTTGCTATAAACTTCCCTCTAAGGACTAATTTTTGTGTATTTTATAAGTTTTGGTATATTGTGTTTTCTTTTTTATTTGTCTCAAAAAATTATTCTATATCTCTTTTTATTGCTTGATTGACCTATTGGTTGTTTAGTAAAATTTTAAGTTTGGCTCGGTGCCTGTGGCTCAAGTGGCTAAGGCGCCAGCCACATACACATAAGGTGGCAGGTTCGAATCCAGCCTGGGCCCGCCAAACAACAATGATGGCTGCAACCAAAAAAAAAAAAAAAATAGCCAGGTGTTGTGGCAGGCACCTGTGGTCCAGCTACTTGGGAGGCAGAGGCAAGAAACTTGCTTGAGCCCAGGAGTTGGAGGTTGCTGTGAGCTTTGATGCCACAGCACTCTACCCAGGGGGACAGCTTGAGGCTCTGTCTCAAAAAAAAAAAAAAATCTTAAGTTTAATTTCCATGTATTCATATAGTTTCCAAAGTTCCTTCTGTTGTCTATAGCTATTTTTATTCCATTATTTTCAGCAAAGATATTGGTATAATTTTGACTTTTTTGAATTTGTTAGGAATTGTTTTGTGGCTAAACATGTCCCAAAGAATGATTCCTATACATTGAAAAGAATGTGAATTCTTTAGCTGTTAGATGGTATTCTCTGTAAATATGTGTTAAATACATTCAGAGTGAAGCTTAAATCTGATTTTTAATTTTTGCTGTTTATTACATTATTATTTTGACCATTTAATGAGGGCATATTTCCTAGGCTGTTCTTTTTTTTATTATGTAAATGCTTTTATTTGAACTACTACATTGCTATCAGATTACATCACTTTTTCAGAGTTAGAGTAACATGATCTTGAAAACTATAGCAAACAGCTTGACAAAGCAGAAGTACATTAAGTCCTACATGTATATTTTATTTTTAGTGATGACATCTTTTCTTAGGTATGAAATTAAAAAATATATCATACACTTAGCATACTTGGCCTACTGAATCCTGTCAAAGTTCTGAGCACACTCTCTCCTCAGGTGTCCTATTCCACAGCATTTTAAATTTAAAGAGAGAGTATGATGATACAGGTCTTAAAACAAATAAGCATGTATTCAACCAAGTGATTTAAGACAAAATATTTCAAATGTTTGAAGCTTGGGCGTGAGAAGGAAGATGTGAATTTAAGGTACATTTTCCCTCTACCTACAATATATGTTTTTCACTTACTTGAAGACCCTTTTAAAAAAGTAGCAAAATCAGCAGTCTTATTTGATGTAATCAAAATATTCTTAAATGTACAAAAAGGATCATGTAGAAAGAATACTGTAAAAAGATACTGATCTTAAGAATAAAAGAATAAGAAAAGCTTCTATTACATTCTGCACAGCCAGTTACTTTGGTAAATTTTCAGTACTACAAAGATAAGCAAAGGATACTCATATCCAAATACCCTCTGACCACAGTTCTCAAATAAGAACTAACATATTGAATGGAAAGCAAAATTACTGTCTAATAATATTCATATCCAGTCATTTAAACAAGGCCCAAGAGAGGGACATTCTAAGAGGAAAAAAGAGACAGAGTGAGAACATACAGCAACAGGAAAGAGTAAAACAGTTTGGCTATGAGCACACTTCAGGCGTGCCTGGCAAATCCAAGTTTGACTATGGGAAAGAGGAGTTGTTTTTATTAGAACTCTTTCCCCTGAGGGCTCTCATGATGAGCTAGTCTTGTTAATCAAAAACTAAATTTCTTTAATGACCCAGAGTTCCTTAAGCCATGAGCACTTCACTTGGAAATAGCTGACATGGGAATCATCCCCTTGGGAGTAAGGCGGTTTTATTCAGATTGGTTATTTTACACTCTCTTCATTCCCCTCCTCATCAAACATGCAAACACAGTCATAACCATCTTGGGCTTTACTTCCACAAGGTCTTTGGGAAGAATGCACACTCTAGCTCCAATTCTTCTAGCCATTGACACTGTGTACTTGGCATTATTGTGCTTGTCATCTTCTGTTAGATTACCACTCTTAACAAGGTCATAGTTTATGCAGCCTGGCTGGATGGCATCAATTAAATCCACAACTGCCAAACTGGAGCTGATCATCTTGTCTTTAAAAAAAAAAAAAAAAAGAGTTTGAGGTTGCTGTGAGCTGTGACACCACAGCACTTTACTGAGGGTGACATAGTGAGACAATGCCTTAAAAAAAAAGATAGGAAGTATGCAGTAAATTATAAAAGCACATTAAAAATGAATATAATAAAAATATATTTTAAGGTAAAACCACATTACCAAGAAATGGGGCACAAGGGAGTAAAAATATTTTGAAATACATATTTCCCAAATGTAACCCCTTATCATCCTTTCTTAACCTTTTCATAATTCTTACCCAGTACCTGGCACACAGTAAGCCATCAGTGATTGCAAGCTACTGTTTTATTATGCTGTAAAGACCCTGATTAGCCCAGCACATGGGAGGCTGAGGCAAGTGGATTGCCTGAGTTCACGAGTTTGAGACCAGCCTGGGCAAGGGTGAGACACCCTCCCCCCCCCAAAAAAAAATAGCTGAGCATTGTGGCGGGCACCTGTAGTACCAGCTACCTGGAAGGCTGAGGCAAGAGGCTCACTTGTGCCTGATGAAACCACCGCACTTTACCAAGGGCTACAAAGTTAGACTCTGTCTCAAAAAACAAAGAGTGGGGATATAAACACCATTCTAAAATTTCTACACTAATGAGATATAGGGGCTGAGGGCAATGGGATGAATAAACTGAAATAGACCGAAAAAAAAAAAAATAAAACTCTGAATGGAAGTGGATTTTCCAGCTTCACTCAATGTTCTGTTCACCCAGTTCACAATGATGTCATCATTAGCTTTCTGACCTTCTCCCAGATCCTCCGGACATTGAGTGTGTATCTTCTAATCAGCTGCCAGACTAAAGCTAAAGTCAGAGTTGGGTTCCCATCATTTAGGTCTTGCCCTCCAATGCCAACCAGAATTTAGTAGGATACTTCCCTAATTCAACAGCATAGTTGCAGTTTTCTAGCTTTTTCATGTTGGCTCCAAGTTTCGGGTAGGGAGGTTTATTAACCTTACTCCAGACAACAGGAACTTTAATTCGTTCATATAACTGTAAGATTACCAGGGCATCTTGCAGGTTAGCATCGAGATGGTTCACGTGGGGATTAACACCAGGAGAGTTCATCCAGTTATGGAAGTTTCTTTCTTCACCAGTTTCTCCTTCTAATAAAGTCCAGTCAATATCCTGGTTCTCTGGCTTAGTTAATGCTGGATATTTATTAAACAGGTTAGCCTCAAAGGTTAAGTTGAGTTTGGGGTTTCCACTGACAACATCAGCAGGAGTAACAAACTGTCTGCAACCTAATTTATCTGCTTGTTGAAGCATACTCTCAGCTCTCTTCAAATCATCTGGTTCATTGAAAGCTGACATGCTAATATCTATCCCTGGTTCACCTTCCTTTTGTCCTTTTGGTGCAATTTGATTGAGAAAATGGAAATAGGCTTTGGAATCCTTGATGTCAGCACTGAAGTTGTTGATTTTTTGCCAGCCCGAGTTTTCCAGATGAAAGTTTGCCCATCTAAGCAGAAGCTCTTCTGGAGACAATTTCATAAGGTCCTCCAAAGTCTCACCATCTCGAAGTAAAGCAGCCAAAGCTTCATTCCTGCTTAATTCAATGTCAGTGAACAAACCAATCTTAATAATCTGCCAAAGTAGTCCCAAAACCAGATGCGGTTTCCCAGCCTGCAAATCCTCTGCACCGATGTTCACAACGTGACACCCAATGGCAGAAGCAGAGTTCAGTGCCAAGTTCAAGTTTCCTGAATGATGAAGGGTGTAAGTTTCTTCTTGTTAATTGCTCTTTCATCAATTGTATCAAGACCTGAAAGGTTGATCATTTTACAAAGCACAATTCCATCACCAACAGTTTTGAATAGGTCGTCAGTGTTTGGGTTCATTGGTATAACGTGTCTACAGTTAGGATCATTTTCCAAAGCTTTGTTCATCCAGTTAACAAAAGCATATTTTTCTTCCTCTAAGTAAGAATGCTATGTTCCTTTGCTGGACAACTCTGAAGTTCCTCTCAAAGCACAAATGCCTTCTTTCCTGTTGATTGCTTTGTGGAAGGTCTTGGCAATATCACTACTTTTAACCTCTTGAAAAATATAAAGAAATTTGTCAAAACTTATCTTCCCATCTTTATTCCTGTCACCATCCAACATGAGTTTCTGAATAATCTCTCTCACTTTATATCCTGGTAATGGCATATTGGCTTCCTTGAACAGCTCATGAAGTTCATAGTCACAAATGAATCTATTGCTGTTGAGATCAACTTTTGCAAAGGCCTCTCATATTTCATCAAGCTCATCTTTGGAAATCTGAGTGGTAGCCATCTCATCCATTTAAAGATGTAAAGTCTCAGAGTCTGGGAGCTGGCCCACCGACCTCCTACCAACGCGCTCAGACAACTTTTGCCCCCTCCTAGGCTATTCTTATCCCTTAGAGGTGTGACTCTCAGTCTGTGTATAGACAGATTAGATATTTAATGGAATCTTCACAGTCTGGGTTTATTTGTAACTATTTTATTTCTGGAATTTTGTTTAGAAAATTTGAGTGGACTGTCATAACCAGTTTAATACCTAGATGGCGGGCTATGCTCAGGTTTGATATGAGTCTCCATTCACATATATTAGGATCCCATGCCCTGTATTTTACTTCTTAGTAAGGTTTCTTCTTGTCAGTTATCTGACACATGGAGAAGAAGAAAAAGTTGCAAAATATACATAGAAAGCTGTGCTGGTCATATCTGGGCTGTATGACTAATTTTTGTGTGACTACTACATTTCTAAGATTGCTCAATAGCATTCTTAGACACAGGCATTTTTGCCTTATATGGAAAAGAAAACTGATTAGTCAAATACCTACAACATAACTGACATTTTTGTTCTTTCCTTTTTTTTTAGAGCTACTGTCCTTTTTATCTTATGAATATTTACAACTTATCCAGATTGAGATAAAGCCACAAGAAATAAGATGACACCATATTTAAAGACAAAATTATTTTTTTTGGAATTGCAATATTTTCTTTTCTTTTTTTATTAAATTATTTTTTATTAAATCGTAACTTTGTACATTTTAAGGTGACCAGATGTCCTGCTTTTGGCAGGACAGTCCTGATTTTTAACAATGTGTCCCACATCCTGCGGTGTTTTAGAAAAGTCCCAGTTTTTGGAAAGAATGCACGACAAGCTAGGGAATGGTGGGAGAATGGGAAGGGAATATACAGTTTTTGGCTGCCATGTGGCTATTTCACCAGGATATGAGTTTTATATTATTTTGTTATTTTATAATGTTAAACTTTAATAATAACAAATAATTGTTGAGAACTGATTATTGAGAACTATTTATCAAAGTTTGCATTGTTGATCAGTCTTTAGAATTCGACCACCATTGTTTGGACTTAATAAACAATGGCATTTTTTGGCATTGGCAACCACATAAACATTTTGTAACTGTCTCTCAGATGATCCGCATCATACCGTGTGCTAGTGCTAATTAAACAAGTGATGTCAACAAATCAGCTATTCAGATAATTTAGGTAATTTATTTATTTATTTATTTATTTATTTCATGAATTTAGCAGGCAGTACTCATATTATTTATATTTTATAGTGGTGGCAAAAAGTCTAGCTCTAGCCTTGAAAGTGACACGACTTACAAGGTATCATTATTAAAAAAATATATTGATAAGGAAAAGGTTAAGTCTTGGGCATCAGCAAAAATCACAATAGAGAACAAATGTTTAGAATTATTTCATCATTTTGAAACAAACCATGTTCCATACAATAATGCACTAAATTTGTGGGATACATGCTGTCCTTACCAGGAACTAATGCTGTGACTGAATGTGTTTTTTCTACAGTAAATAAAGTGTGGACATCAGAAGAATCACAATTAAGTGTTGAGACTTTGAAAGCTATTTTATGTGTGAAATATAATTTAACAAATTCTTGTGAAAAATTTCATGACCTTTTAAACAATGACAGAAATCTACTAAAATAATTCACTCAAATGAGAAATATGCCAAAGAATAATATTATACATAATTAAAAAAATGTATTATATTTGTAAATTGTACTTATTGAAATTAAAAAAATACATTACAATACTATTTTTGTGTTCTATGAAAATTTTTGTTGCTCCATATAGACCAAATTTTTAATTAAGGCCCCCCCCCCCCCCCGTCAATGGTGTCCTGCTTTACCAATGTTAAAATCTGGTCACCTTAACATTGATGCATTTATGGGGTTCAGGGTACTTCTTCAATATACAGTGTGAAATGCTTACATTGAACTAAGTAACAGATCCATCACAATTATACTCATTTCTTAATAGTTTTGAAATGTACCATTGCATCATGCACATTAGGTGAGGTTCCCCCAAATGCCCTCCCCTCTCCTATATCCTCCCTGCCCTGCCCTCTCTCTCCTCTTACCTTCTACTTTCTGGACTATAGTTATGTTTTGTCATTTGTATGAGCATGTAGGTGGTTATATATTGATTTCATAGTAGTATTGAGTACTTTAGATAATTTTTTTTACATTAAAAGGCAAAATTCTGTTGAAAAGTTTATTAATACTATTAATAAATCATTCTACTTTCAGCCTTTGTGACATTTTGTTTTAAAGATTAAATTTATTTGAAAAGTCCTCATGTAAACCAATCAGAAAGAAATGAAGCTTTTTATATTGGACTTGTCAAATCCTTTTAATAATTATCTTTTTTCTTGGGATGACAATAGCATTACTATGATAGTACTATTTCCTTATTTTTATTAAAATTAACTCTTTTCAAGGTTGTTGCTAGCAAACTTTGATTTTTATTAGTGTGCTAAAGCCAGCTAGAAACAAGATACTTTAAAATTATGTTTTATTATGAATTTATTTATTATGAATATTTATTATGTTATAATATGTTATGTTATTTATAATGAATATTATTTATTATGTTTTTCTTATGAACTATTTTATAGTGGAAAACAATTTGGCATTAAGTATTCATATGCTCAAATTTTGAAAGTGTTCTTCAGTCCCCAACTGAACTTTGTGTTCCAAGACATTTAAAGTTTTAATTATATTTACGTAAAAAATAAAATTTTAATCACCAAGTTCTTTCTCATCACTGAAATAGTTGCTTTTCTTTATCCTGGGGCGTCTTGAATCATCTGTGTTGAGGGGCTCCCTGAACTGGGTTACTTTTGTTCTTGTTCAATTCCAGTTTGCTGGAATGCCACGGCCTGACTGAGGCTATCCTGAGCAGAGTCTTCCACTTCGTCTTCACTTTCTCCTACTTCCATGATTTCTTTTTCTGGTTCAGGAATTTTCTTTCTTTTTCTTTTTTTCTTTCTTCTTTGCAGGTTCATGTTCTCCAAGCATATTTTTAGGACAGGCATAACTTAAATGTCCACTTTCCCCACATTCATAACACTTAGTAGTTTCACTGTGGGATGAACTCAGCGGCTCTTCCACTGTCCACAGTAATGCTTACTTTAATCATTCTGCCAAATAACTGTTTGTTGTTTACTGCCCTAGTACAGTTTTGTGCAGAGTCTTTATCCAAATATAAAATAAATGCAACTCCTTTACTCTTCCTTGTATCTTTATCTTTCATTACAATAAGTTTTACAACTTTGCAATCCCTGGTAAATATCCTGTATAAATAAGTCATTGTTGGTCAGAGAAAAGGGCAAACTGGACACGTACTCCGTGCTTTTATTTGGAGCCCATCCACCTTGCGTTTCTGCAGGTCCAGGAAACTGGAAGAGCGGCGGCCCTGGGCTCAGCTTCCAGTCGTTGGCAGCAGCCTCAGCGGCGTGGGTCCTGGGAGGGATCCGGCACAGAGATGAGAGATGAGGTCGCAGCTGCAGTAGTGACTTTTCCTGGCTTTCTGAAACCTGGCCCCACCGGTGGGTGTTTCCCCTGGCGCCATCCTTTACTGGCACTCTTTGTCATCATCTTAAAGCTATTCTATACTCAAACTGTGGCACCAATATTACCTGGCAGCTTGTTAGAAATGGAGAGTCCCAAATTCCATTCCAGCTCAACTGAAAAGAATCTGAATTTTAACAAGATTTCTGGGAAATTCTCAAATTTTTGAAACACTGGTCTAAAATTTTAGTGAAATGTCTGTGGTACTAGGCTGGATCATAAAGTATTGAATACAGCCAGTATATAGCAGATGCTAAAATTCACAAGACTAGACCTTGACTAACAGGGTTCAAATCTGAGAGATGAATGGGCATGAGATATTATAAAAATATCTAAATTATACAGATATAGTCATATCTATTGAATCTAAGAAGAGAGAGATTGGGAAGGATTGGGAGAATATATATCTTTTCCTTTCCTTTGAATAATTTAAAGTCATAAGGAAAAATATGCAGTTGTAGTGATACCAGAACTAAGGTTCTGTTATGATACCCTGACTCATCATTTTGAGTATCAGTTGTCAGTCTGTATGAATTGGCACTGAGTAAAGCATGGTCCTTTTCACATTGTTCCTATCACTAAAATCTTCGATTCACAATGGAAGAAACAGACATCTGTTAAAGTAATTTATTTTATATTATTTTTTGTTCTACTGCATGGTATCACAAGCCTTATAGAAAAAGACAAGGACTGGAGAGTTCTAGACCTTTGAGTCAGAGCTCCATAGTTAGCATGGAAATCCCAAGATACCTATGGGGATTTTAGAAACAGTTGTTCAAGTACTCATTGGAATATTTTTTCCTTTCTGATTATGAAGGTATTTTATTGTCAAATGAACTGATATCTAGAAAATATTTAAGTAGGATCAATAAAACTGTTGCTGTTACTTACTCACACAAGAAATCCATGAATATAAACTTAGGTCTTAATGAGGTTTCAGCTCGTTCATCTATTTCTTTGCTCTATAAATTTGAGTCAGAAAAGATATTAAAAAGGAACAATTTTTATTTTGTTTAGAAAAAAGTTCTAAGTTCCACTTTAATAAAAATTAGTGTGATAAAATAGTTCCATTTTAGTCTATTTATTCCTCTCTCTTGATGATTATGGAGAAAGCTAAAGTTTAGAATTCTGCTTTATAGTACCTGTAATAGGATCCCTTGCATTACAGAGAGAGAGAGAGAGAGAGAGAGAGAGAGAGAGAAAGAAAGCGAGAGAGAGAGAGAGATATAAATAAGCCACCTCTACCTACTGTTTCTGGGATGGAAGATGCCAGACTGGAAATAAATTCTGAGATGAATAATTTTTTTTCTTAAACAGCTATCTATTTAAGGAAATGAATGAACAAATACAGAACTCAAATTGTTGTTGCTGTCTCTTTATGTTTGAGACATAAGGATGGTGAAGTCTTATTTGGA